GTCCCTGTCCCTTTAAGACTTTCAAAAAGCACTCGCTTTTCTTTGTCACAGGGGCGCCGGCTTCGGGACCTGCTCACAGGTCTTGCTGTCCTGTTTCCCTAGTATCCAGGACCCCACGCATGCACTCTGTGTCTGCGCTCTGGTGTGGATGGCTAGGGCTGGGTGATTAGCAGTCCTGGGCTCCCTCTCCCTCCCCGCTCCGACTCCTCTCCTCCCGCCGGGAGCTGGGGTGAGGGGCGCTTGGGTCCCGCCGGGCCGGGGCTTGTATCTTACCCCTTTCACCAGGCGCTGGGTTCTCGCAGGTGTGGATGTAGTCTGGCTGTTGTCCTGTGTCTTCTGGTCTCTCTTTTAGGATTAGTTGTATTTGTTGTATTTTCAAAAATATATATGTTTTTGGGAGGAGATTCCCACTGTCCTACTCACGCCGCCATCTTGGCTCCGCCTCTATGAATTTATGCATTCTTACTTTCTGAAATTAGGTAATCCATGACTGGTGTATATTTTAACTTTTAAATAAGCATAAAGATAATTTAACAAACCAAACTCCAAAAAACTTAGTTTCTGGCTATGGATGCTTTCTTTACTCAAAACTGTTTGCTTGTAAATACATATCATCCACTTACATCTCCTAATTACCAGATGCCCTTGTGATCATAGCCCTGGAAACATATGCACAGGTCAGGAATAAATGTCAATTAGGGCTGTCACAAAGGGCTCTAAATCTGGTTTGGTGGAGTCAAACCCCTTCTTTTGTATGTATTGCCAGAAAAAAAAGTGATTTAGTGTTAGGATACAATTTCTATAATTAAGCCAGAGGTTTTCAAAGTATGGTCTGAGACCAGCAGTAGCACATGGGAACTTGGTAGGAAGGCAAATGGTGAGGCCCCACTACAGACAATACTGAATCAAAAACTCTTTTTGAGGGCAAGGCCTAGAGATCTGTGTTTTCACAAGCCTTTCAGGTGCTTCTGCTACACGCTAATGATGCTAATGTTGCACTGGGTATTGGTAAAAGACTTACATTAAAAACTGGATTTTCCATGAAGTGGAAACATTTTCTTTAAAGCTGTAAAATGTAAAGCTCACACTACTTTAAGTATGTTAATGAAATATTTTGCAATCATTAGAGGAATTATGAAACGTACCATTATTAAGGCTTCACATTGAGATAAAGAATTTGAAATACACTTACTTGTAACTCATATAACTCATTGCTGTATCTTCCATACTCAACCATTCCCCCAAATACTAATATTCTGGTACCATCACAGACAAATCCATGGGCAGCACAGCCTGGAGGGATGTCTCCTCTAACAGCTGGTAGGAACCACTGATTGGTAACTAGTTGCCAAAATAAAATTAAAACCAATTATAATAAACTGTTATCACAAACTATGAGTATGTACTTGATATGTACCACGGTATCAGTGGTTCTGAATGGGAGATGCTTTTATCCCCTCTCCCCTCCATCCCTGCCAGGGGTAAACTAAAAATTGTAGTTGTCATAAATGGAAGTGGGGGGTACTACCGGCAACTAGTGAATACAGGCTAGGGATGCTGTCAAACATCTTACAATATACAGTGCACTCTCCCACAACAATTAATTCTCTGGTTCAAAATGTCAACTATTCTTCAATCAGAAAAAATAAAAATGAACAAATGTCTATAGTGCTGCTATGCTGTGTTGAAAAACCCTGATCTACATCATCTAATTCTTACAAAAACCCTGCTTGGTGAGTACCATTATTTCCATTTTACAAGTGAAAAATCCAACACTTAGGTTCTGTAACTTTAGCGCTGATCCTGGGCAACTGGCAGAGCAAAATTCAAACTAGGTCTAACTTATTCCCAAGCCAGGAGTTTTACATTTACACTACACCAAATTGTCAAATAACATTTTAACTTTATATGCTGGGTGCCAGGAGGAGCAGACGGTGAAAAAAAGAAAAAATTTCCCTACTCCACTACTTCATTAACCTTAAATGACCGCTATGGTTAAGTTACTTGGTTAAAGAAAAGTTACTGAACATGACATGGATCCAAAATAAAGTAATTAGCCTTACACCAAGGAAACCGCTTCCTCACGATAGCTGGCTCACTTACAAGTGGGAAAAATGAAATTCCAACCTCCTTTCTATTCTACGAGGAACTCAAATCAAAGGCCAGGACTCCCCAGCCAGGAGCATTTGGGATTAGCCGCGGTGTTCGAGCTGACAATCCTCTTTCCTAGGGATGCGCGGCTGACATTCGCCACACGCACCCAAGCACGCTGCGAGGCGCGGGTCCCGTACACGAACCAACCCCAGGCACTTCCCCGCCAGTTACGGAGGCTACTGCCAAAGGGGTGGAAATCCTGGCTGCCACCTGCCAGATACGAGGCTGCATCTGGGGTGAAAATACCAGAAGGCCTCTAGTTTTCCCTCCCCACGCCCACCTAGAGACCCCGGCCCCGCAGCGTCCCGGGTGGAAGCTCCGTTTTCCCGGAGCCCACGCCGCGGACCCGGACCCCGAGCTAGTCTCTCCCACCTAAGCAAGGAAAGGTAAAGACGGGAAAGGTCTGGAGGACCTTCGGTTTGTAGACGGTTTTGGTGTTTGACAGCGGGGGGCGAGACTTCGGGAAGCGGCCCAGGCGGCTGGAAACAGTCTCTTTGCCTACGTCCGCCGGCAGGGCCGGAGCGGGGGGGTCCGGGACTGCCTGCCTGAGGTCCGGCGTGTCCCGCTCGGGGTCCGGGCCCGCCGCGCGGGCCCCGGGAAAACGGAGCTTCCTCCCGGGACGTTGCGGGGCCGGGGCCGCCCGTCCGAGGAGGCAGTGACCCGGCGGTGACAGCTGTCAGGGCCGCGGCCGCCGTCTCGCCTCCCCTCCCCCTCCGCGGCTCCCACAGGCGGGGCCGAGGAGCCGCCGGGGCGCCTACCCGTGTTGTAGACGTGCAGCTCGTCCGCGATGCCCTCGTTGCCCCCTCCGAAGATGATCATCAGCTCCCGGATGGCCACGGCCCGGTGTCCGTGCCGGGCGCGGGGGACCGGCCCCGTGAAGGAGGAAACCCGCCTCCAGTTGAGGAGGCTGGGAGCCGCCATCTTCCCAACCCCCGCCCCTCTGCCCACAATGCTCCGCGGCCGCTCGGGCGCCGTTGCTCCCGGGGGTGCGCGGGGACCCGCCTCCAGCTGTGCTCCCGGGAGGAGGCGTCACGTGACGGCGGGTGCCCTGGGCACGACGACCGCCTACGGGGAGCGGAGGGGTACTGGCCGCGGAGCCCTGTCCCAACCCCCGGACAACGTGTCCGCTCCTGGCACCCGTGCAACGGGTATTAGGGTGGAAGGACACTTCTACCGACCAAGTGTCTCGCTACCCAGCGCACCCCTTTTTGTGTTTGCGGGAAGGGGACAGTGTTTTCCTTTACGGCCACTTTAATGAGCAGCTAGGATGTGCGGGCGAGTCAGGCATTTTAAACAATTACAACACCCGGAGAAGAGCTTGCTTAGAGGTTCGAAGTGCCGCGAAATTGGAAAAAGAGAGGGAAGCCTGACTTTGCAGTGGGGTGGGGGGGGCGGTGACGTGCGCGCCGGAGGCGCCCAAGCGTCCAGGGTGCCGGCGAATTTGGGAGGAGTCCCGGGAGTGTGGACCGCGATGCAGGGCTGCGCGCCGGCTGTGGCTAAACACACCCTAGGGAGGGTCCGGGCTAAGCCCGCAAGGGCAAATCAGGTGCATCAGGGATTGGGGTTGCCATGCCGAGTTTAGGGATGTGAGCTGCGAAAGCTTTTTCAGTTTGAGGGTTTTTCATTGCCAAACGCTGTCCTAATTACCTTATGTGTATTAATTCATGTGATCCACCCAACAATCCAGTAAAATGGGTACCGTTATCTTTTTCGCGGATGGGGAAATGAGGCAACTCTTAAGTCATTCTTCCATGGGCACGTAACAGAAAAGTTTTGGGACTAAGATTAAAACGCGGTGCTTGTGATTCCAGAGCTCCTACGCCTAACCACTATACAGTACTTCCTCCGATCACAGTCACGTAACCCTAATATGGCTGGTTCTCAATGTCAAGTGATGCTGCACAGAATCACATTCAAAGAGATCCAAGTCCTCCTGCAGGGGAAAAAAAGGCTGAAAGCATTTAAAATTCCTACCTCACACTCTTAAGAAGGTACCTAACAGGGAATACACACAATGTACACCAAATTTCCTAAAATTCATTTTTCCTCATCTTTTATAATTTTAAATTTCTCTTATTTGCCTAGCTCATCCTCTCTTCCCTAACTCCCTCAAACCTAAGCATGCCTCCCCACCTTCTCCAATCATCTAAACTTTCTAAGAGGTGATTCTCTTTTTAAAAGGAATTATCAGTATTCTTTTCAGTTCCTGCATCTCAAGTTCTTCCTCTCAATGGTTAATAACCCTGTTTTATAATATGGTGAAGGAGAACTTGGAAAGGGAAGGGAAAGATGGCTGGGAACAAAGAAAGGAAGCTATGAATATTTATGTATTAATGTTTTTCTTTGTCACATAACAGGCTCTTAAACGTTTTTGTAATAAAGTTTTTATGTACTTGAAACAATAATGGAGAAGTTGAGATAAAACAAAGTTTTTCATAAAACTTGAAACATTTAGAGAACTGTACTTAATTCTGAGAGTTTAGGGTTAAGATGTCCAAACTTTTATGACTGGTGCTGTAAGAAGATAGTAGTTTTTTTTTAATGCCCTTATAACAAAAGACTAAGGAATAAATTAATAATTGCAAACCCAATGTTGATTTTCAAATGTAGAAAAATAATAAACAACTGATTTATGATATTTGAAAATCTGAAAAACTGAACTCGGGGAAAGATGAAGGCAAAAATATTAAGACAAAGGAGATTATAGGTTATAACTGGTTGCTTAGCTAAGGAGTTGCAGAACAATGAAGGAAGTATGCATTCATTTCCTAGGACTGCTGTGACAAAGCACCAGGTGGTTGAACACAACAAAAATTTGTTGTCTTAGTTCTAGAGGCCAGAAATCCAAAGTTCAAGTGTCCACAGGGCCATGGTTCCTCTGAAAGCTATAGAATAGAATGCATCCTTGCCTCTTTTCTACCTGCTAGTAACGGCCATCAATCCTAGGCATTCCTTAGCTTATGGCTGCATCACTCCCATCTCTGATTGGACACCACTGCCTGGTGTTGTCCCTGTGGACTGTCTCTCTTCTCTTCTTATAAGTTCACCAGTCATATTGGATTGGGGCCCATCCTAATGTTCTCATAGTAACTTGATTACATCTGCATGAGCCCTGTGTTCAAATATGGTTACATTCACAGGTATTGGGTGTTAGGACTTCAACATTTGGAGGGAAGGATATAATTTAATACATGATAAAGTGTTTAATCCAATGGGAAAGTTATTTTACCAATACAGCTTTGACTCAGTTCTGTTTAAGTGAGGAGCTTAGACTATGTCCCAATTCTCAAGAAAGAACCTTCAATCTTTGAAACCGAGAAAGAGAGGAGGGAGGCAGAATAGCACCCTAAGGCAGTAAACATATAAGAGGTAGCTACAGAAGGAGACACTTATGATGGAAATGGGGAATGAGTAGCCATTAAGGTCAAAGGAGAACTGGGTGAGGGTAATGTCAAAGAAGCCACAGGTGAAGCAGGTTTCACAGAGGCAGAGGTAGTTATCAAAGCCAAAAGCCAGAGACATCAGATGAGAAAAAAAATGTCTCTCTTGGATTTGCAAATTAGGAAGTTATTAGTGGCCTAAATTAAAATACTCAGGGGAATGGGAGGAAGGAAGGAAGCCAGAGAAGACTGAGAAATGAATAACAAGTAAGGAAGCACAGATAAAATGTGTAGTCAACTTTTTACAGACTTGCCCATGAAAGGAAAGAAAAAACAACAGCCGGTGGGGAGAAATGAGTACAGGGAAGCTGTTCTTGTGATTTTGCATGGGTGAGATTTGAGCACGACTGTGGGCCCAGAGAAAGGATCCTACTGAAAAGGAAAGACTGGAGGAGCAATAGAGACGTCTTAGTCCTTTCAGGCTGCTGTAACAGATTACTACAAACTGGGTGGCTTATTAACAACAGAAATTTATTCCTCACAGCTCTGGAGCCTGGAAGTCTAAGATCAGGGTGCTAGCATGGCCACGTCTTCCTGATTCATAGTTTACACCTTCTGACTGTGTCCTCACAGGGTGAAAGGAGCAAGGAGTTCTCTGGAGCCTCTTATCAAGGCACTGATCCCATTCCTGAGAATTCCACCCTCATGAGCTAAGCACCTCCCCAATTTTCACCTCTTAATATATAATTTTTTGGGGGAAGGATTTCAACATATGAATTTGGAGGGACACACACATGCAGATTGTAACAAGAGAATATGTCATTTGGAAATGCTTTCACAAGTAACAGAGTATCCAACAAATAGTGGCTGAATAAGGCTCTTAATTATCTTGCATGAAGAATCTGGGGTAGGTGGGGCCAGGGTTAGTTCAACAGTTAATGGTGTCATGGTTCTGGGCAGCAGCTATGAACTTCTCTTCGTCTCTCCTTTGTGGTCATAAGAAGGCTGTTGCAACTCTAGGTGTTGTGTCCTCACAACCATGCTCAAAGGCATGAAGCAGGAAGACAGCCAGGAAGGAGAAATATAACTCTTCTTTTACAGGGAGGAAAAGCATCTTACCAAGAAGCCACCCAGCACAACTGCCCTTCAGTTTCATTGGCCAAAACTGGGGCATTTGGCATATTAAGATTACAGGGCTGTAACGACATAAGTGCTAAAATAATAATGGCTTTAAAAGTTTATGTTTCTTCCATATAAATGAATTTTGGATGTGGTAATCCAAAGTCAGCACGGCAGCTGTGTTTCACCAAGTCCTCAGGAATTTGTAGACTTCATGGATTCAAATTCTTCCTTCCAACTCATGGTCCAAGACAGCTGCTCCAGTACTAGCTGTTACACCTACATTCCAGCCAGCAGGAAAGAGTAAGGAAAAGGAATGTTCTCTATCATTCTGGAATCATACAGATTATTTCCGCTTACATCCCATAAGCCATTATTTAGTCATAAGGCCACAGCTAATTGAAGGAAGTTTGGGAAGCACAGTTTTTATTTAGAATGACCATGTGCCCAGCTAATAGTCAAGGTTCTGTTCCAGAGAAAAAAGAGGCAATAGGCACTGGGGGTCATTTTGCAGGAAGGTGGCTACAGGAGTCAGGGAAAATGGTGTTTGTTTGTTTGTTTGTTTGTTTTCAGGCTCGGTAATGAGAAGCAGGCAAGGAAGAGGGAGATTGCTAATTAGAGTTGGTTGAGCTAACCAACTAGGCCCGCCTCAGCAAATGTTGAAATCTGATGGGGCAATCCTGGAGGGTCAAGAAAAGATGTATTTAGAGATACACATAGATTTATGTGTATACTGAGGGTTGAATATATTATATTTTTGGATTATAGATTATATAAATATTTATATTATATAAATATATCATAGAAAGCAAAGTTCTGTTGGATAATGCTGCTCTAGCCTTTTGAGGTTACACTAGAGAGGATACCTTCATCTCTCAACACGTTCTCTTCTTCACTCCCACTCCCCCCATTCCAGCACCCATCATATACCTGGACTCTCAATATAACACAGGAGTTAGGGAATTAGGATGTGGCACCCAAGAGGCACAGCCACTCACTAGCTGTGTAGTCTTCGACAAATTGCTTATCCTCCTTGAGCCTCAGATTCTTTGTCTATAAAATGCGGATGGTAATAGCATCGATTTCTTAGTGTATTTTGAAGATCAAATGAGGTCATATATGTAAAGTACTGGCAGTCTTTGCTTTCCGTGGTAGTGTAGCTCTGTAAAAATGACCATGCAAGCTGAAACTCTGCAAAGTGATCTTAATTCTCAGTGGGAAAAATTACAATTGTTCTGCAATCTTTAAAAGTTCATTTTAAAGATTTAAAATGTAAAGATCTATTAAAATATTTTAAACACTCTTACTGGTTTTAAGCATCTAGGGAGATGAAAAAATAGTACACTTAATATTTGTCTTTAAAACTGTAACTTAAAACATTAGAAATATGGAGACTTAAATGGGTTATTTTTTGTATAAAACTTATCCAGGGTAGTTTGAG